TTTTTTTTTTTTTTTTTTTTTTTTTCGTTTTTTCAAAATTTATTTTATGTAGAAGCTTCTAGTTTATTAACCTAAGGAAGGCCTTTGGTACTTGAGACTAGCAAGCTGCCTAAAAATCGCGTTTCACCCGATGCAATCACCTCCAAGGTCATGATCACATTGGATTTGGAATTGGAAGTTCAACAGGTCACCCTTTAACCAAAAAGCTATATATATTAATGGAAACTTTGCCTGGAAAATTCATTAACCCTTGGATATGAACGTGTTTTCGTTCTCAATGAAAAATCTACCTTCCAATTCGAATGTCAACTTATCTTATTGACTGACATTAAATCTAAGACAAAAACAATCTGATAGTCGTAGCTTGAAGTGAACAATCCGCTTACCAAACACAGACTAAAGGCAAGCTTTCGACACTGCATTAGTTAATTAAATCTGAATCTTAATTAGATATTGTGCCAATTCAAACTACAGGACTTTAACTATTGCATTTCCATTGCATATATTTATCTTTAATTCATAGTATTCTCTTACGAAATATAATATTCAAGGCTTATTTGATTATTAGTTTTTGTTTTGTTTTTTCTGCCTTTTTTTTTTTAATAAAATTTAAGTATGTTGATAACTACTTGGTTTTTCTTTAAATTTTCTTTAAATCTTTCTTAAACAACTAGTTTCTTTGAATGAGTTTTTTTTTCTCTCAAATTTGAAATTTGAAATTTGTCTTTTTAATTTGTTTTTGTTTAATAGGTTTCTAAAAAATTTAATTGGTCAATAGATGGAAGTTCAACTTTGTGAAAGTTTGAAAAGCTAAATAGACATGGTTTCAAATTTTAACTAAAATTTTAATTAGAGAATAAAAGATATATTTGATAGCGTTCTTTAAAAAAAAAATATATCATATCATCGAAATTATAATGGTATTCTTTCATCCGGATTTGGATGAAATATTGGTTTTAGTTTTTATAAGAATAATTCCAAAATTGGCAGGTTATTTGTTTTTCAAATTTTAAATTTTTTTATGTTTTTCTATTCTAATATTTAAAATTTTTATTTTAACAGCTAAAAAATTGTTGGGAATTAGGAGGTATATTTAGAAAGTAAGGAATATACTAAATATTTCAGTCGTTGGCACATTCTTGTACATACATTTTTTAGGAACCTGAATCTGATTAACCTTTTCTTTAACTGTTGTAAAATTCTTTAATTCGTTTGCGGGATTTGCTTTTCTGAGGGGATTAGCATCTTGAATCGTCCCAAGTGGAGCAAATTAGGTTAGTTGGGGCAACTGACTTCGTTGGAAAGAAAAAGAGCATCTGCGGCTAGAAGGAAAATCTTTGGAGCCAAAATGGTTTGCCCCAGAGCCCCAGAGCCCCTGATCCAATCATCCAAGTGTCATCTTACAACGGGTGGAGATCTGTAATAAGCTGCAATGGTTTTGGGGAAAAACATCTGCCTAACACCTTCAGCCTTGATGATAGGAAATATGATGGCCGATGCACCCTACACGACATGCAAAATGGTTAGATTTCTATCCTAATGCCATACGGATTGATTATCAAGCACTCTAAAAATGATTTAAAGCATTTTAGAACCATTTTTTATTTCAAGAATGACTTTCGTAGAATCGCATATTTTTTAAATGATCTTCGTCAAATTTTAAAAATAATAAATAAATAATTTTTCAAATGTATGTTTTCAAGTTCTGAAACTTCAGCAAACTGTTTAATAGTTTTTTCCTGGATGGGAAAGGTTAAAAAATTGAACACGATTTTATAAGCAAAAATAATAATAACAAAATATTAACAAATAAAACATTCAAATAGTTTTTTCCTGGATGGGAAAGGTTAAAAATTGAACACCGATTTTATAAGCAAAAATAATAATAACAATATTAACAAATAAAACATTCAAATAGTTTTTTCCTGGATGGGAAAGGTAAGGTTAAAAATTGAACACGATTTTATAAGCAAAAATAATACTAACAAAATATTAACAAATAAAACATTTAAATAGTTTTTTCCTGGATGGGAATGGTTAAAAAATTGAACACGATTTTATAAGCAAAAATAATAATAACAAATATTAACAAATAAAACATGAAACATGAATTTTCCTTTTTAAAAAAAATTATCTGATGACCACTTAAATTTTGTTCTTAACTAAATTTTTTCACTAGAATTCTTATTTCTCTATTACTTATACTTTCTAATGTGTAGCTTTTTTATCTCTCTAACCTTCCACCCTTACTGACAAATATTCACATATTTTTTTATCTTTAAAACTTTTTTTTTTTCTTTTCGTAACATTTCTTCCTTTTTCTCTAATTAATAGTCTCTCTCGATCTTAACCTTTTCTCTTTAATTTCTCCTTGTAATTTCTATTTCACATCTCAACTTTAAAAAAAAAGAAAATAGAAAAAGAAAAAACTTACCAAACGTATATATGGTTAAATAAAAAACAGAAGATGAAAACAAAAAATTGAAACAGGCCCAACAATTTTTGGATATATATGATAATGATAATAATAATAATAAACACAGGAACAACTTTTATGGCGATTACGAAAACTTTTTTATGAGAAGGTAGAGAAAACAGTGATTAGTATTTAATGATGTGCTTCCAGAAAAAGAAATATGAGAATAATTTTAATCAATCATTTTCCGAAATTTCCAATGAAAAACCTAATTACATTTTATATTACCAAAATATTTTATGAACATTTATTATCATTAATACAAAATAAGAGGCAATATTTGTCAAATTGTGTTAGATTCTGTCCAGCTTAGACTACGTTAATTTAGCATCCTAGATAACAGAATCGATTATAATAATGATTTGATATAATTAAATCCTACTGAATAATTTTTTTTTTTTTTTTTAAATAAATGCTTTAAAGTTTTATGGACTTGGCTTTCAATGTTTCCAAAATAAATAAATAAAGGAGCAGCGTTAAGAGTACGTACCGAAATTAATCTGACTCCGATCCAGACGCGTTTAGGAGAAGGAAATGGGATCAGCAACCGGCCAACGCCGTATACTGCCACCGCAAAGAAATGGAAAACCAAGCTCAACGGGCGAGGGTTCAACCCAGAGAGTAAAGAAACTGGTCCATTCGAAAAGATTCCACCGAGGCTTAAATAATCGAAGCAAGCCTGACGCATTTCCTTTCTAGCCTGATCCGGTGATGCACAAAAGACCTTGTAAAGGGCACCTGCCAATGTGTTTATTGTCGAAGCCACTGGCTACAATTACATAAATAAAACAAACTCATTACATGTAGATAACTTGGTGATTGTTTGGGATTGGCTATCTGAACTTTTTTCTTTTAGTACCTTTGGAAGAATTGCCAATTTAATGTGTTTAGTGTAGTTCTTAAATGATTTAGATACTAAAGTCTTTTTTATATATATTTGTGATCATTCGCGATAATTTGTGCAGATTTTGCTATTCTCACATAATAACTATATAATCTTAATAAACTTAGTTGCTAAAGTAACTTGATATTAAATCTTCCGTAAGTGAACTTGGTAAAAAGATTGATTTAAATATTCCGTTCAAGAAAAAATATGTAGTAAGAAAAATATACATATTTGTTATTTTTATATGAATGTATGAGATGTGACCAAATCACCATATGCAAACTTTGAAAAACCTTTTTCTAACATATATTTTAAGAGAAAATGGTTGTACTAAAAGGTAAAATTGGGGGTTTGCCGTTTATTTATCCAAGAAAAAGGAAACAAAAAAGCAGATAAACTGAGTACTAACCTTACGGAGCGTGTAGAATGCTTCAAGATACTTGCAGAGACTGGGTGCATCATTCAGATCACGCAGAGGCTTGAGAAGATCTCTAAGGACAACGATGTCAGATAAAGCGACGGTCATTCCGCCGCCAGTTAGAGGGTGACGCATATTGAATGCATCGCCCATCAATAGGGCTCCGGGGGTAGGATATGGATCTGCTGGCATACTTCTATTTGGCATTGTTCTTATGTTACCCTTATCAATAGCAGCTATGAATGAATCATAAAGTTGAGGAGGAATCTGTGTATGACAAACTTCACATGGTCATTCACAGATGAGATTATGGAAAAAGAATTAGGAGTATATACGCACCTGAGGAGCAACAACATTCTTCAAATAGTTTGCCATTTCACCGTTTGAAATGGAAGGAACTTTCTGACCAGGCACATCCACCAGACAGCGGATCTCTGTACTGCTAATGGGATAGAACAAAATGGGAGAAGGGTCTGCTAGTATCACATGTCCGTGATTTGCGTAAGGAAGGTCACAATTCTCGAGTACGAGACCAACAAAACAAGAGGGAACATCAACCTGGAAAAGATTCGTATTTAAAATCTTCTCGGCATATGGAACAAAATCTTTGTTTTTAACATAAATTTATCTAACTATTGGCTTTGAATTAGATAGATATGATAATCAGCAGAACATGAATCTTCGATTATCAAGAATTGAAGAGTGTTCGCACCTTAGGATTGCAAAGAGTGCGTCGCAAATTTGAAAAGCACCCATCACAAACAATGGTCAAAGGTGCATATGCTGTCGTCTCTTGGCCAGATTTGTTTTTGTATTGCACACCTTTAATAGTACCATTTTTCTCGAGCAGAGATGTGACCGTTCCCTGCACCAAGCGCACACTAGAAAGGTGGAGGAACAAATTAATGAAGGAATATATAATAACTCCTAAACAAAGCACGATACCAATACTTAATGAAAAGAAAGGTACTAGTACAATTATCGACTCAATCTTATTATAAGGTTGTACATTACAGGAGCGACACATTAGAAGATTATGAAGATTTAATCTAAACTCTCAACAATGAAGGAAGTTCCATAAGAGTTTTAGAAAAAAATGTGAATCCCAGGGCTAGTATATCACTACACCAGCATTTACTACATAAATATGACTTCTCTGTCAAATCCGCAAACAAGCATGGTCGATCATGGAGCAAAATGACAAAAACTGTAACTGTTATTGAAGTTTGATTGCACCAATCAAATTTATGTAGGATTCAAATTTAAATTAGCAAACGTATCTAAACGTTGTATTTTGTTTTTAAAAAGTTCTAAATTTTCAAGAGTTTCAATAATACCTTCAAACTTTAAGAGGTAATTAAAAAATATTCTTACTATTAATATATAGACAAAAATCAAAATATCCCTAAAGTTTTAAAAGTTGCATTAGTATCCTTAAACCTTCAAAAAAAAAAAAAAAAAATCCTTACCATTAGTATATGAACACGGAAACAGTTTTTCTACTCTGTATCACCTTTCTTTTCTATTTCCTTTCTCTCCACTTCAATGGCCTAAAATTTCCCCATCTTTCTTCAGCTTCTTACCCTCTCTTCTTCAGTACCCTCTTACTTCCCATTTTTCAGTCTCCAATCTCTAAAACTACCTCATTCAGTTAAGGTACATGAGCTATAGCAAGAAGAAACATAATAATAGAACCAACAAGAGACCTTCGAACTTAAGATGGTTGTACATAGTAATTGATTGTTAATACGTTACTTGAGTTTAATGCACAAAAAAAGAAATATGTTAAGAATTTGAGTCTTAGTTTTGAGAAGAACGGATAGGAGAAAAAAAAGTGTGCACTACCAAATTTGTAGCAATGAAGACTTCAACGATTTTTCTTTTCTGCGGTTCAAATTAGTTTATTTGTTTATGATCAGTTAAGAAGGTTCTCCATGATCGAAAATGATAATCCTTCATTGACACTTTTTGTATTTGATAGGAGTTTATGCTTTAACTGGTAGTTTTTATTCTATTCGGTTGCTGAGAATGGGTGTAAAAATTGGACAAAGGGAGACAAAAATAAGAGTATCTATGTGAAAAGAAAAACGAGGATATTTATACGAGTTGTTTTCAATTGGTTCTCTCAAACTCAAGATAACTTCAAAGAAATTTATCATATTGAAAGGTTAAAAGCAATTAATGCAACTTTAAAAGTTCATAGGTATTATTATAGGTATTTTTCAAAGGAGGTATTAACAATTTCCATCATATACTAATGGTAAGGATATTATGGAACTTTTTTTAATTTTAGAGTATTATTGAAACTTTAGAAAGTTCAAAGACCGATTTCATCCAAAACTAACAAGGCTATTTTAATTTTTTTTTTTTTTAGTTTATGGTAATTTTAGTTTGGGAGTGTATACACTACAGAATCAATAATGACAAAACAGATAGAAGGGAATTACTTGGGCAAAGTTGCGGCCTTCTGACGCATCCTCTGAATGAAGCGCCCATTGTGGAAGCTCCTTCCAGACACATCCGAGTGAAATTTTTCCAGGGGGTAGGAGAGTCTAGTATCCTTCCCATCCTTAAAGAGGGCATAACCGTACACTCGTTGCGCGTCAATATCATCTACACAATCTGCATAGGATACAGAATATCAACAATCAATTCTAGTTTTCTCAAAGGCACGGGAGAAGTCCTCTACAAGGATACAGAATATCAACTACAAATCTGCATAGGATACAGAATATCAACAACCAATTCTAGTTTGCTCAAAGGCACGGGAGAAAATCCTCTACAAGAAACAACCATTTGATATTGATGAAATAAACCAACCTTCAAGTCC